ATAAATAAATAAATCTTTAAATAAAAAAAAAAATAAAAATAAACAAATAAGTAAATGGATTTTTCTTTTTAAAAAGAATAAAAACTAAGACTTATAAAAACTTTCAGGAAAAAAAATGTTATCCCAAATTAGGCAAATAAAACAGAATTCTTTGAATCAATATTCTAAGAGATTTGTTATTTCTTCTTAATCTAAACAAAATACAAAAGAGAAACATTTGTAAGAAATTGAAAGCTTTAATATATTTGTTATATCTTCTCTAAAAAGTTTAAAAAGAAAAAAGAGCTATATACACTTTGTTACTTACAAAAAAAAATCTTTATTAGAAAGAAGAAACCATACCTCTTTGAAGAATTTATTTAAGATGGCTAGCCCAAACTCTCTTTGCTCCTCTTCAATGGTAACTTCATACTCTGCCTGAGTGGAGATTAGGAAAAAGAAAAAGGTTAGTGATTTTACTCATCAACAATATTTCATATGCTTTAAATTATCTGACCTATGAACTGACAAAGTACCCACTGAACCAGAAAAGAGTTCTATGGGTTAAATTTAAATAGTTCTCCAAAAATGTAAGTACAGTACCAGGGTAAAAGTGTTAGGGAGAGCCAGCATGGTGGTGCATGCCTTTAATCCTAGCATTTGGGAGGCAGAGACAGGCTGATCTCTATGAGTCTGAAGCCAGCCTGGTCTACAGAGTGAGTTCCAGGACAGCCAGGGCTACTACACAGAGAAACTCTGTCTCGGGGAGGAAAAAAAAGTTGAGTGAAAGTTGGTGTGTTAATCTTCCTATCTTCATTGTCAATTTGACTGGATATAGACCCACCATGGAAACATATCCCTACACCTTCCATGAAGGTGTTTCTGGAAAAGATTAAACTGAGCAGGAAAGATATACCCTATGTGGACAGTGTACTGGCCCATAAACTTATAAAAAAGGGGAGAAAACAGAGTTAACGAGATGGTTGGCAGTTAAGTATACTTACTGCTCTTGATGAGGACTCAGATTCAGAAACTGCATAGTGGCTCACAATAACCTGTAACTCCAGTTCCAAAGAATCCAATACCATCTTCTGGCCACCAAGGGAGCCAGACATACATATGGGACACATCCACACAAACATGCAGGTTCTCAGACATAAGACAGTTTTTTAAAGGAGAAAGCAAGATGAAGAGCAGCATTCATCTCTTGATGTTTTTTCATATGCAGAAAGTACTCATTAAGAACCATAACCTCAGCAATCAGGAGTTGGAGACAGGACTGCTACAAGTTCAAGGCCAGCCAGGCCAAGATACATTTTAAGAGCCCTGATCTACAAAGTGAGGTCCAGACCAGCTTGGGTTTCAAAGTGAGACCCTGTCTCAAAAAGAGGGAAGGAGAGGAGGAGAGAAAGATGACATCAAGGTAACTACCAATTCTAGTTTTTAATATCTAAAGTCTAGTTTTTAATATCTAAAAGTACAAAAGCAAACATGCAACCCTGAGATGAATCACTCACCACTGCATCCAAGAATTCAATGCATCTCTTTAGAGCTGGTTTTGTATCACAGAACTGTCTGAAAAGAAGTCTTCCTATTGGCTGCTTGTCACAAAGGCTGCTAAAATCCTTTTCTGGGTAAAGGGGAGAAACAAGCATAGTAGTTACTACCTACTTAGTTCTATTCTGAATCTACTTTCTGTTTTCACTCAATATAATGAAAGTCAAAATGTTACTTCTATTATTATTTCTAGACGACTTGTTCTTTTTACTAATTTAAATTGAGTGATCATACATTTAAAAGACACACGTAGAAGTCTGAGTTAGTAAAGCACTTCCTACACAAGCAGGAGAACCTGAGTTCATACATGAAGCACCCACATAAGAAACTGGGCATGGAGGTGTATTCCTGTAATCCCAGGGCTGAAGAGATGAAGACTGGCAGATTCCAGGGGCTCACTGGCCAGACAGTCTAGAAAAATTGCCACGCTCCAAGTTCAGTGAGCTACTCTGTCTCAAAAACTAAGGTGGAGAATGATCAAGGAAGACACCTAATGTTGTTGTCTAAACTACACATGCACATACACAAACATGTACAGACACATGCACACACAAATATAAAAAGGAATACATAAAAATAAAAACAAAATAGGCAGAACTGATTGTGGTAGCATATGCTTATAATCCTGGCATTCTGGAGGCTGGGGTAAAAGGAATATACATTCAAGGGCAGCCTGAGTTACATGCTAAAATTCTGTCTCAAAAAACAAAATCGGCCAACCAACCAACACTAAGATACATCCAAAAACAACTAATATTTGTAAGGATTTGCAAAGTTTAACTTGAAATAGATTGCTCTTTTCAAAAATAAAATATGTAGGAGATAGATAAGCCCTAGGAATAGCCATCCACAAGGAAGCAGGAGCATAAAGGGAACTTTCTACTTACTTCACCCACTCTAGGTATCTAGAACAAACTGCATATGCAGCAATGTACTAAATCAGAACTAGTTTTTAAACTAATCAGTTTAAAACCTTTCTCCATCCTCATAGTTTTTATACTTGCAAACAAAATTTAAATTATGTTTATTGATTTGTTTGCTTTTTTATGCTCAGTGATTTTTAACTTTCCCTTTTATAGTTATTTGCTTATTTTTTCTTTTCCATAGAAAATATTGTATCCCTTGCCTCTCCTTACCTTACTGTTCTGAGAATAAAACCCTAATGTTCCAGAATTGTGTCAAAAAGAATATGAAACAAGGTTCCAAATAGCTCAGCCAGATGGTAGCAACGCATGCCTTTAATCCCAGAGACAGAGTCAGGCAATCTCTATGAGTCTGAAGCCAACATGGTCTACAGAGTGAGTTCTACGACAGCCAGGGCTACCCAGAGAAACCCTGTCTCAAACCCTACCCCACCCCTAAAAAAATTCTAAAACAAAAGCATTATTTAGAACAAGTAAATCTTCAGCAAGAAAGCCATGTTCAGCAGCAGGGGAAGGCAAATTAGAACAAAGTCTAATGATACATACGGATTAAAATTTAATAATGAAACCATTACTTTGTTTTGTTTTTGTTTGGTTTGTTATGAGACAGGGTCTCATTATGTAGTTCTGGCTGGCCTACAACTTCCTATGTAAACCATGCTGGCTTAGACCACACAGAGATCCACCTGCTTCTACCTCTGTCTCCAGAATGCTGGGATTAAATATGGGTACTACTGCATAGGCCCATTATTTTCTATGCTAAATAAAACAATAGAAGGGGGTGGGGGACTAAAAGGGGAATGGAATGGAGGGAAGGAGAGAGGAGGGGGATTAGAAGGAGATGGGAGGATGAAAGCAGGGAAGGAGGCCAGTTGCTCTCCTAGCAGTGGCTATGCTGGTTGTTTATTGTCAACACAAATCTTCCTAGACATATCTAGGAAGAGGGAAATTTTTCTTTAAATTTATTTTATGCGTGTGAATATTTGAAAGTCAGAAGAGGGCACTGAATCCCTTGAAATTGGACTTACAGATATTTGTAAGCCACAGTGTGGGTACTAGGAATTGAAACCAGATCCTCTGTAAGAGCAACCAGCATTCATTACTACTGTGCCATCTCTCCAATCCCAGAAGAGAGAATTTGAATTGAAAAATATCTCCATAAAATTGGCCCATAGGTAAGTTTGTAGGCCATTTTCTTGATTAATGATTGATATGGGTGAGCCCATTGTGGGTGGTTCCACCCATTTAGGTGGTCCTGGGGTTGTATATGAAAGCAAACTGAGCAAGCCATAGGAAGCAAGCCAGTAACCAGCTTTCCTCCATGGCCTTTGCTTCAGTTTTTACTTCTAGATTCCTGCCCTAACCTCTCTTGGTGATGGAGTATGACCTAAGAGTTGTAAACTTAAATAAATCCTTTCCTGCTCAAGTTGCTTTGGCCACAGTATTTTCACAATGGCTAACTAAGACAGTGACTCTCAACTTGAAATGGATAAACATAGCCGGTGTCCCAAAAGTAACTCTAAAGCTGAAGAATTACAGTAAATGAGCAAACCATAACAAATCCCTCCATTACGGAGTTATTAATAGCAAGTAATTCTGGGAGTCTAAGCCATTCATTTGAAATCATTGGGTCTAAATATGGAAATGTCTAGGCAAGGGAGCTAGGAATTGAGTTCAGTAGGCAGAGTACTTTTTTTTTATATATATAACATGCACAATGCCCTTAGGTTCCATCCCTAGCATCATATATACCATTATGGTGGTACACGCCCATAATCTTAGCACTTGGGGTGGGGGGGGTAAAAGCAATATCAGAAGTTCAAGGTCATCCTTGTCTATGTAGTAAGTTCAATTTCAGCCTGGCCTACATAAATGTATGTCTCAAAAATTTGTCTAAATAAATAAAGCATTGAATTGTGCACATCTACAAGTCATCAATGACCAGTGATTTAATTCTCCAAAATTAGAAGGTCAGTTCAAAGAAGGATTCTGTCTCCACCTACAGGAGAACTCAAAGATACCCTGGAATGTCTAAGCCCAGAGGTACTCCCTAATAGGAAGTTCATTGCTGAGATGCAGGTTACCGCTTCCTCTTTACACTCCTTCTTTTCTTGATACTGTCTGTATCTCAATCTGAAGCTGCAGACAATTGTGAGCAGCCATGTGGATGCTGAGAACCAAACCTGGGCCTTCTGCAAGAGCAGCAAGTGCTCTTAACCACTGAGCTAACTCTGTAGTCTCAATCTATACTAACTTTTATTAATAAAAAAGTCAGCCATCAACTTTCATGACTGCACTCTAGAAAACAAAGTCTCTCCTACACACAAAAGACTAAATGAAGTTATAAGGAAAATGAAGAATTAGTAACATCTAAGTAATGCTGAATGTCAGATACCCTATAGACATAAGATGGCACTACTTACTCACCGATGGAGCATCTTAGGTCACAGCACAGGCTAACTGGGGGCAGCTTCAGGATCTCCCTCCATTTTTTACTACGACCACTCTTTTTGCTAAGTCCTGCTAAATTGAAAAAGGTAAGGATTTATATTTCAAATTGTGTCTTGTTTTTATTTTTCAGACAGGGTCTTGTTATGTTCTTGGGGATGAGCAAGAAAGGAAAGGTTGTGGCTTAATAGTGATGTGTTTATGCTGGGAAGTGGTGGCTCACGCCTTTAAGTCCAGCACTCTGGAAGCGGAGGCAGGTGTATCTCTCTGAGTTGGAGGCCAGCCTGGTCTACAGAGTGAGTCCAGGGCAGCCAGGACAACACAAAGAAACACAATAAAGGTTAGACCAGATTGACCACTTGCTGACACCTGCCAAGCAGTAGGACGAAGCCAGGACTGGTTCCGGTGGGATCAAAACTCCCTTAGTGAAGGTCCCACCGAGATCAGGATTCCCTGGCCTGGAGTTCCTAGGAAACACTACCTTCGGGGAGACCGGGTGCCTGGGGTGCACATACCTTGACGAGCCTTCAGTAGCAGAGTGTTGGCCATGATGTTCTCGAGTTCCATGGCCCGCCGTCTGCGCCGCCGGCGCTGAGGTGGCAGAGGTCGAACTTTTTGGGGTGTAGGCAACGGAGGCGGGGAAGGCTGGCGGGGAGGAGACCCGAGAGCCACAGTCGCAGGATCCGCGCATGCCTCGTCCAGCTGGGGACAGGGCTTCGGGTTGCTGGTCCGCCTCCGCCGTTTCTTCCTCCGCTTCTTCTTCCTTCGCCACCACTGCCACCAGTGTCGCCGTCGCCGCCGCCGCTGCCGCCGCCGCCGCCGCCGTCGCCGTGGGGGCAAAGGCAGGCCCGGGGAAGGCTCGCCACGGGCTCCAACTACGTTGTCCGGGCGAGGGGCCTCCGCTATCGGCGCCGGTGCGCGGGCGCTCGAGCCCCGAGCATCATCGCCCGAGCCCAGGGCGCGTAACTCTCCCCTCAGCGCCGGGTCCTGGGGCGGCACTGAGCCTCCGCCGCGCCCCACTCCACAGGGGAGCTCACTAACGGGAGAGCCGTCTCCGGCGGCGACGGCTACAGCAGCCGCCGCCGCCGCGGCCGCCAGATAACTCGCACGGCAGCACGGCCCCGGCTAACGGTTTCCAGAGGGAGCCCGAGAGCTCTCCTCGGGGTGGCGCCTGAGGAGACTGTAGCTGCTCACGGGAGCACTACAGATCCCATAAGGCCTAGCGCCAGGAAGTCCGGGAGTGCTGCCTCCTGGGAGTTGTAGTCTTTAATCCAATAAAGCTACTGTGCAGTGTCTTACAAGACTTGTGTACTTCTCGCGAGGTACCGGGAGCTGACGCAGTTATTGTGAGACGAGGCTGGGCGTGGTTTTGCAGCCTCAGCGCACGTTTCTGGAGGCAACCTGCTGCTGTTTGAAGGATCTGTGGACACTGTTTTCCTTAAGTGGGGCAGAGTGAATGTCATGGGGAAGGCGAAGCGGGCTGGAGCGCGGAGGCAGGTTCATAAAGCGTCCGCAGGGGCGTTCGGAGGACCGGCGAAGACTAACGCAAACCCGTTTGAAGTGAAAGTCAACAGGCAGAAGTTCCAGATCCTCGGCAGGAAGACGCGCCACGATGTGGGGCTACCCGGAGTATCCCGCGCCCGAGCCATTCGGAAGGTAAGTGGACGCTGCAAGGATCTGGCTTCTCCAGTGGCTAGTTAGGTACTTCTTGGAGACTGCCTTAGTAAGGGTTACTATTGCTATCATGACGCACCATGACCAACTTGGGGAAAGGGGAGTTTATTTGATTTACACCTTTGTACCGTAGTCCATCATTGAGGGAATTCAAGGCAGGAACTCAAACAGGGCAGGAACCTGGAGGCAAGCACTGATGTAGAAGCCATGGAGGGGTGCTGCTTACTGGCTTATTCTCCATGACTTGCTCTGCCTGCTTATAGAACCCAGGACCACCAGCCCAGGCGTGGCCCCACCCACAGTGGGCTGGGCTCTCTCCTGGCAATCGTTAGTTAAGAAAATGCTCTTTAGGCTTGCTTGCGGCCAGATCTTATGGAAGCATTTTCTCAATTGACGTTTCCTTTTTTTAGAAATTATACTTTGTGTCAAGTTGGCCTTAAAGTAGCACGGAGACCATGACTTGCATAGCATTGCCTCTGCTTTCTTTGGGTTCGAATGCCCTTTGAAAACTCTTCTTTGGGATTTTCCAGGTTCTTTTTGACTCCTCCTTGACGCCTCAGGACCTAAGGCTTAGGCATAGTTAATCACTGAGCTCAGAGCTGACCTGTGCTTTAGGCTTTGATCATGCCAGTATGCAACCTATGCTCTTTGAATGTATGAAAAATGTCCTTCCTCTGAATTACATCAGCTTGTCCCTTGGGAAGTAACTTTAAAAATGGTACCTTTTATGGATAACCTCATAACTTCCATCCTTGCTCTTATGGCCCTATCTCAGGCGTATTTTGTACCTTCCTTCCGGATTCAGTTCAACAAATGGCGTTCTGTATGTAACTGTTGGTGTCCCTTGGGCTTTTAAAAAGGAATTTGTAGTTGGGCAGTGGTGGCTCATTCCTTTAATCTTCTGGAGGCAGAGGCAAGCAGATCCTTGTGAGTTCGAGACCAGCCTGGGCTGCAGAGCCAGTACCAGAACAGACTACAGAGAAAAATCAGTCAATCAATCAATCAATAGTTAAATAAAAAGGAATTTGTGGCTGCCTGTTGTGGGCATGCTTTTAAACTCTGGGGAATCAGAGGCAGCTGGATCTCTTGAGTTCAAGGCCAACCTGATCTACATCTCTGTAGTGAGTTCCAGACCAGCAAGGGCCACATAGTGAGACCCAAAACTTCCAGTTGAGTCTCAATAAATAAATAAATAAACAAACTTAAAACCAAAAACAATTTATGGTTACTTTGAGAAAAATTAATGGATTAGAATTATTGGTAATATTTGTAGGAGAGATAAGTCAGACTTGGCCTTTGCCCTTCACGGCTCCTAATCTGTACTTTGTTGTAAAGGATGCATTTCACATGCGCTCTTTAAGCTGAATGAAATATCTTTTGAATTGGGCAAAATATCTGTACTGCAAGGAGCTGACGCTGTCCTGTATGCATTGTGGGAAACACAAATGACTGACTCTGGTAATTCACACGGTACATTATAGACAGAGGGGACAAATGTAGCCTCTAAAGAGCCACATCTGCCTTTCCCAGTAAAGGCTTGGGCTTCATGCCATAATGGAACATACCCTGCCACTTGTGAGCACTAATTAAAATAGCACACTTAGTGGATAGTGAGCCATCTCTAAACACTACTTGGCTTGTTGTCTTGGTTTTGTCAAAAACCAATTTCTCAAAATAGACTTGCCTTAACTCCCAGAGGTTCGAAAGTACCAGTTCAAGTATTATTTTTCACATTCCACAAACCAAATAGGAAAATGTGTGCATTCCTCTAATATGAATGAGAAGGACCACAGTTCCTTTTTGAATTTCCAATCACTTGGCCCACAGCAGAAATTCAAGTAGTGGAAGAAATCAGAAGTAGAAGCTGGGAACTTTCAGAGGTCACAGTCAGGAGGAAGTAATGTAGAACATCAGAAAATTGTTCATAGAGTCATATTCAAACCCCGTAGGGTGAATGGGCCAGACTGAAGAGGTAAGTTGGAGGCTCATTGCACTGGAATAGGGAAGGGTAAGGCACAGAGTCAAAGGGCTCAGAGCCATCTGGAGCAACAGTAGATCTCACAGTTGACTCTAAGCTTGATGTATGCACACGGGGCCCATGCTACAGGCCAGAGAGAGTATTTTCTGAGTGCTACTCCTTTGAATATAAATGGCTACCATTGTTGCTTCCTTTCCTCTGATTAACCACAGTGCTTTGAAGTAGCACTTCACTGTAGGAGTACAAGGAGAGTCCCAATACCATTACCTTCCAGTTATGTCTCAGTTTCCAAACTTAATTAGAAAGGCAAAGCTATTAATAAAGTTACAGATCCTATACAGTAGATCAGGTATTGTATTAAGAAACGTAAGTTTAACTGGGCAGTGGTGGCGCACTCCTTTAATCCCAGCACTCAGGAGGCAGAGGCAGGAGGATCTCTGTGAGTTTGAGGCTAGCCTGGTCTACAGAGTTCCAGGACTGTTTTACAGAGGATCCCTGTCTCAAAAAGCCAACAAAAAAAAAAAAAAAAAAGGAAAAGAACAAAGCATAAATTTAATCCTCATAGCCAGCTTTATGAGAGAAATACCACTACCACCTTTTNTTTTTGAGACAGGCTTTCTCTGTAGCTTTGGAGCCTGTCCTGTCCTGGAACTAGCTCTTGTAGCCCAGGCTGGTCTTGAACTCACAGAGATCCGCCTGCCTCTGCCTCCCAGGTGCTGGGATTAAAGGTGTGCACCACCACCACCCAGCCACTACCACCATTTTGTACCTGAAGAGGTTGAGACAAAGAACAGTCAAACAAGTTAGGGTTAAGATCCATGTCCACACTGCTCTCCCAGCATCACATACTGAAGCAATTACTCTGCTTGTCTGTCCAAAATGATCTCTTGCTCAAGCATACAATCCTCCCAGCGATTGTCTGAAGAAAGTGACTACTTCCTCTTACTAACTCGGGATGGGGAGATGGAGAGTTTGCCAAGTTGGTGGGATTTTGTGATCATACTTTGAACCTACCCAGCTTTTGTGAGGACAAGACAGAGGTGCAAGATCTCATACCGACTGGAGCCCAGCCCCTGCAGTTAATGGCTGTGTCTGGATGAGACATCGCTCCTCCATCTTTGCTAATTTCTCCATGCCCCTTGGGTCTTGGTGTGGCATGGTCAGTGTACGTAGATAGCCCTGAAAAATACGCAAAAGCACTCAGATCTGTTTAGTAATTAATCTAAATTAAAAATTTCGAGTGTCTAAAAGATACCTCATTAATTGTGGATTTATGAAACCACTGAATTGGCCTTTTGTTATTTGATGATTCTACACTGATACTGCTTTTCGGCATTGGTTGGTGTATAAATGCTCTCAAATGACAAGCTACTAGCAAATGTAAAAATTTTTGCAAAAAGCTTGGTATAGTGGTACATGCTGAAATCCTAGCACTCCAGAAAAGGAGCAGGAGAATCAGAAGTTTGAGACCATCCTTGACCGCAGAGGGAATCCCAGGCCAGCAAGGACTATTGAGGCTAGGTTTGTTTGTTTGTTTGTTTGCTTGCTTGCTTGCTTGCTTGTTTTAAAAAAGGAATCTCTTCACTGAATGAAAGTTGCTATTATAGCATCTCATGTCTCTTGAGGCCATTGCCATTTCTTGCTTCCATCCATCCTTGTCTTGCTTTAGGGCATTCAATCTCAGGACTGAATAATACTGAATGTGTTTATCCTATTCGAAGGATACCCAGATTTCGGCTACTTGCTATTAGTTGTTCTGTGCATAGAATATCAAGCTTAAGGGGTAGAGTGAACTGTGCTGCCACTTGATAAACTCACTTATAATATAGTTCCACACATGAAAGCATAACTATACATTTTTTGGGATATGTTCAGTGCGAAGTAAGCTCCCTCCTCTCTGTGGAAGAGATCTGCATACTTTTCCACGTGAATCATGCATGCGGTATAAATTCCCAGGTTGTAACACAGCTTCTACAACTTTCAGCACTGACA